CAGACCTGACCTGGGTCTACCACAGACCTGACCTGGGTCTACCACAGACCTAATCTTGGTGTGACACAGATCAAACCTTGGTCCAGTGTAGATCAGACCTTGGTGGTTCCAACCTTTTCAGACTTGTGTACCCCTGAGACACTTTGTCATCCCACTAGTACCCCTCTGTCAAACGTAGTGATTATTCTCCAAAACTATAACGTACAACTGATTATTTAATGAAAATTATTTATTTAACCCTCAGGGCATTTTATTCTTTTCAACTCAAATAAACATAAAGATAAAAATGTTGCCTTGACAGTGAAGCCTGGAGAACATACTAAAGTTTGTACGTTACAGAGCAGACTGTCAACACAGATGTTTCTTTATCAGATCATCATGTTTACAGAACAACAACAACAGTCAACACTGAGATGAGCTTCATGTCAAACAAACAGGAAATAAACTCAAAGAATCAATCATTTATTTTAAAGTAAATCAATCTGCTTTAAGTTATGACCTAACCTGTCTTTGACCATGACCTGGGTCAGATTTGGTTCTGGTGCTTTGGGTGGACTTTCTTCTTCATGACTGTTTCTGCTCCAGAGTGAAGAGCATCAGATGTTTTTAACCCAACAAAGTCAGGACATTTTCCCAGTCCTCACTTTGTTTTTCTGCACTCTACCAGTTAGGTTTAGAGGTGTGCAGTTACTGCTGGTTCAGGTAGAGTTAGGAATGGACTGGTAATGGTTAGAGTTGTCATGGTCTGTGTTTTGGGTTCCTTGGTTTTTTCTAGTGTTTCTGTGTTCCCCTGTGTTTCTCTGCCCTGCAGCCCCGCCCTCGCTCACCTGTTTCCTCTTGTGTCTGCTCCAGGTGTTTCTCATTGTCCTCATTATATTCAGTGTCTTGTGATCTTGTCTTTGTGCGATCATTGTGYTGTCAACCCTGACTGAGTAGTGTTTTCAGGTTTCCTGAGCTGAGTACCAGGCCTTGTAAGTTTTTGTGCTGCCCTGTCAGCCTTTTTGCTTTATATTAAAGACCTTGTTTTTGATATTTGAACCTGTCTGCGCCCTGAGTTATGTACCTGTAAAACTGTGACAAGAGTTATGTATAGACTAGTAATGGTTAGAGTTAGGAATATACTAGTAAAGTGAAGTTTAGGTTAGTTTTAGGGTGAGGTAAGTTACCTGTGAGGTTAATTTTAGGGTAAATGGTCAGGGTTAGGATATGAAATGTCCAAAAAATGAAGGGAAGTCATTCCATGGTCCTCACAGAGATATAAAACCAAACCTGTGTGTGTTTTTGTGGTATTTCCTGTCTGCTCTCCAGGGAGACGTTCAGAAGAAATGGACAGATTTACTGAGTGCTCGTCTTCATTTCCTTTYTGTGTTTGTTGTTCAGACCAAGATCTGCTCAAAGGTCTGATTTCAGGAGCTTTATGTTAGTTAGGTTCGTTTAAAATTAGTTTGTGGCTGGTTAACTGGTTAAAGAGCAGTTAGAATGGGTTAGGTGAGTGTTTACATTTTGCTTTTCTGTAAACAGTTTTATATTATATTGTGTGTGTGTGTGTGTGTGTGTGTGTGTGTGTGTGTGTGTGT